TCTTAATGTCCTCTTCTTAAATTGCCTATATTAATTTCCTTAAGGGGATTGGTGTGGTTGATTTAATAAGGGGTCGCGTATAGGCAATTCGATGTCTTATACTCGTTACGCAGTGTGGTTGTGTGCCAATTGAAATGATCATTAGTGTGCTTAGATACGTTCGAATTCCGTCGTGTACCACGTCAAAAATCAAGAAAAACGAAATATATTCTTCTATGCATCACCTATAATTGCTATAAAAACTACCAAAAGAGGTAGTAAGTTAAACATACTTCAATCAATGTAATTTCGAAAAAAGGGTTGAATTCGTAAGCTCCTAGACTATGCTTTGTAGGAACCCCTTTTTTGATATATAACCCAAAAGGCCTAAAATAAATAGAAATGTAATGCAATTATTTCACGAGATTTTTTAAAAAAATATCCAAATTTTATGGTTCTTTAAAATTAAAAATTGAAAATCGACTTCCTAGAAAGCCTAGTTATTTTGCACAAGAATTTATACATATATTAAAAATTAAAATCAGACATTAGGAAATATGTGTAATTTACCACCGCTTATTGGTCTACAACGTACGAAAAATACGTGTGATGCGATCCCCTTTAAGCACGAACGACTGGAGCCCGTTTACATAGAGAATTACAACTCTACTGTAATTACTGTATGTTGTGAGTGTATAGTATGCATTTTAATAAAATATTTTTTTTATTCAATAAAATATACATTTTTGTTTTTAAAAATATAAATTATAGTATTTTTATATTTATTTTTATGAATAATATTAATCACAAATCATAACAGTAGGTATATCAATAAATCAAATATTTAAATTAATTATACATTTTCAGATGAAAATCCGAAAACGCTTTGTGGTATTATTATAATATATTAATTTTTAATTTCAATGTATCTGTTAAGTGTTAAGTAGATATGTCATTTTGTAATGGGACTTGTTATCTCAACTGTCGTGACCCGCTATAACATATTTTGTGCTTCGGCAATACAGTAATGTGTTTGCCGTTTCAGTCCTCCGTCCTCCGTCGTTTACTCTCGAACGTTGTACTACCGCCCATCAGTGACGTGGTGAAAATAATTTTTTGAGGCCTGTGCCTCAACATAAATGTGTGTGTTGTGAGGTGAACTGATGTGATTCCATGAGAATAATACGAGATTGACTTATCTT